ACGGGGGCAGAGGCAGAAGCTTTTTCCTTCTCCTTCTGGGCTTGAATGGCCTCTGCGTTCTTCTTGAGCTGGTCCTTCTTGTTTTCAGGGAGGCCTTGCCGGGTGGCATTGAACTTCTGGAATGCTGCCTCCTCCTTTTGCTTGAGATCCTCGGGAATGGCGGCGTCGGCCGCCTTGCTTGCATCCCGCAGGGCTTGTGAGGCCTGGTCAAGCTCAGGCGAAATGGCCTTTCGCTCGTCTTTGAGCTTCTGGATCTCGGGGCTATCCTGTTTCTGGACTTGGCGCCTGTCCAAGTCCATCAACGGCGCGTCTCTGCCGATGAAATGGGACTCAGCGAGAACCTGGAGTCCACGTCGATCATTATGAGCAGTCGCCGCCAGGGCAGTCGCGCACACTAGTACAAAAGTCGTGTCAGAAGGCAATTGACTATTGTGGGGACATGACAGCAGTGTCGGGTCAAATTCAAAACGTACGAGCAAGAAGAGCCAAGCTGAAGCGAACCATTATGAATGATATTGCTGTTGTTTTGCGTTGAGAGTATAAATGATGTATTGTATAGACCAGCTGCACTTGTTGGACGTCTTAAAACCGAGGAGAGTTGTTGTTAAAATGGGAGATGAGTTGAAATTGTTGAGCCGAGAAGGGACGGGAAGATGTTGATGGTATTTGTATTCTATTGCGACGGACCTCTGCTCCCGAGCGAGCCTGCGTGGCAGCTGAGCAAGCGGGATTTTTCTGCACATTTCATTTGGCATCCAAGTGTTTCGAACGACTCGCACTGTTGCAAGTTTGGTATCATGACGAGCTCCGCCTCGCTTGGACGCGTGAGAGGTTTCGCCTGGTTCGAGCAAGACGACGAGACGAGTCTGAATCAAGACTCAAGAGAGTTACGCTGTTATCCCTACCTTCGTTCCCGAGTTCATCATAGCGGCGAACTGCGTGAACCCCGGAAACCTTCATCGTCAAAAAAAGTGGAATGCTGCCACTCTACGTTGAGATGCAATTGTGTCGCAATAAACCCACTCTTTGTATCGTCTGAAACGTCACGACTTGTCCAGGGCACTGATGAGGCCATTCCGTACCCATCACCGCAATGTCTTTTGGTGCCAGTTTCCAGCCAGGTCGACAGGTCTGCCTGCCCAGCGACACTGAACAGGTTCTTGCCTTATGTTCTACGGAAGCAGGCACGACTGAAGGAAGTCGAAAGCCGTCTGTGATGGACGACGACAGCCCGGTCATTCGGCTTCACTGGTCGATAGCACTGTTAGGTAGCCACATTGCATGACGGCTCCGACGCGCTGCGACTGGGGTCAGTACCGTTTCCGCTGGCCGGGTATCTCAGGGGCTGCAAGCGGCTACCTCGGGTTTAGGTGGAGGGCAGCATAAATCGTAGACCTAAAGGGAGACGGCCAGCGTTTGCATGTTGCCGTCCGATGGCCACCGCAAATCCGGCTCCTTTGAGCGTATAATCCAATCACTGAATTATTGGCCGTCGATGACCTGACAGGGATTAACCCTTGCTTTGTCAAACCAGCCAGACCATTGCGCCAATTAGGTATGTTAGAGCGTTAAGCAAAGCCGGCGTGGTTAACGTTTCCAGGGTCGTTCTGTGCTAACCCCCAAGTTTGAGGCACAGCATTCACGAGGCCCTCCCAAACGCTCGGCCTCGACCAGGTTGATGCATAAATCGCCCCAGCCCAGGCATGGACTGCGCCTCCCAAACCTGGCTTTTTGAACCTGTCTGTGATCGAGCTGATCCTGTGGATTTTTACGGCTCCGGTACGATTCCGGACACCACCAACGCAAGTGAAACTCCCCCGACTCCCGACCCGACGGTAGAACACTTTCTTTTCCGGTGCAAGAATTGGACGGCACAGCGGGAAATCTTGCTCAAGTGCACACGAACAAAGATTGGGAATCTGTCTTTCTTTTTGGGAGGCAAAGCTGCGTCGGATGACGACAGGTGGGAACTGGACATGCAGGCCGTGCGTGCGACGATCAGATTTACAATTGCGACGAAACGGCTGGAATCGACCGGCGTCACCCAGGGCGTGGATCTTTAACATGCGAATATACGAACAAAACAGCCTCAGCTGTGGCAGACCGCGCTTCAGTTGCTGAGAATAGGATGCTGAACGCTTGCACTTGGCCTTCAAGCAGGCCTGTCATGGGATCAAGAGCGACGAGGTTGGCTTACAAGTGGTGCGACAATTCATCTGTTGGCCTGGGGCGCCACGTACCAAACCAGATTGCCAGTCAAGTAGCGTCAAGGCCCTATAGGGACTCCCCTCCGGGTGTAATAAAATCCATCCATCCGTAGGTAAGGAAAGGTGTATTGCCAATAAATGTGGGGCGGTCCTTTAGTATGGATTGCACACCTGTCCATAGTTATCAAACCACTATGCCACAGCAAAAAGTGTAGGCCCACACGTTGTGTGGAATAATAGCGCCTTATACGTTGGCGACATTATAACTATGGAAAACAACACTGGTACTGACTCATTAGACGGCGCAGTCGAGATGACATCGCTCTCTCTGTAAAGAAACCGACCTCAGCCACCCGGCTGTTAGTACAGCCGGCCATCTGTAGCAAGCCGAGGGGTAAAAGTCGGGCTGTGTAGCAGTTGTAACAATAGGTGATAATCCCTGCGGGTGAGACAATCCATCCGGACGTGGGTATTGAGTTGCCTGGCCACGAATCGCTCCACGTTTGGGGTCGCCTAGCCCTATCCGTGGGAACCACGCCAGGTTTCGTGTCTTATAGAGTGTCAAATGGTCCATGTGAACAATTCGGCCTGTTCAAATTCCACAAGAGTGATTGTGCCATTTTGTCGGACTATAGGGTCTATAGTGTTCGTCTTTTTGCATTAGCTAATTAATGGGAATTATTTGAAGAGTTTGAGCGAGATGAAGGCCGGTGCGAGGCTTTTCGTGCCTACTAGAGAGGGACCTGCGTCGTGGTGGAGAAGAGGCTGTTGGCGATGTCTGACTCAACTTGTGTTTGAGCTTTAATCTCAACTAGGGTTCAAAACACCATGCTACAAGTGCTCGGCCATAACATGCATGTTAGAGCATCAGAATTCCGTGGGCAACCAGGCTGGGTGTATCGGTATGAGACATGACCCTGGACTTTTGTGAGACATGTTTGCACGTCGCATGACTTGTCACACTCTGCCAACCGCTCCGTCCGACACGCAGTTTACATTTACGTCCTCGGGTCCGAAATCGTATATGTGGCGTTGATGATCTGGATGACCGCGGCCGTCAAACTTAATCTTCAAGCCGATCTCCACAGTTCAGTTTCAACGACCCGGCGTCGCCTTATACCTCGTCTCCTCGCTTTCGGTTTCATACCCGACCTAGCGTCGCCAACCACAATCTGTCAGCCTAGCGCTCTACTGACTTGACGCGATACACTCTTTGACTTCAACCTAATCTATTTAGCTTCCAAGATGGTCCGCATCGCTGTCGCCGCTGCCCTGGTTTGTACGTTCTCGTCCGTGTCTAGCAAATAAGCGGAAACTGCCACTGATACGCCACATAGTTGCTGTTTCTGCCCTCGCCATCGGCGACCCCACGGGGGCGAAAAACGTCGGCAACGGAAAGGGCGGCCAATTTATTACGGGCGCGTGTGTAAGCAATGCCGACTGTGCGTCTAAATGTTGCACCAATCAGAGCAAACGAGGAGGAGTCTGTTCTGCCGTCGGTGCACAGTTCCAGGCGGGCAAGACGGGTTGTGGCTTTAATGATCCTAATGCGAAACAGACTATTGCGGCGAACAAGCAGAAGGCGCGACAGCAGGGCTTCAAACGTCTTGCCAGGCTCGCTGTTGAGCCGCGAGATGAGGAGTAAGGAATGCCTGTCGAGTTGCATATGGGTCAGTCTTAGGGTTGCCCCGAGGCAGATTACCAGGAGGTAAATAACCAAAACCTCGTGATAAATGACCCCGAGGTTTATGACTGTCATTTATCACGTTCCCCCAATCACTATTTGGCCACTACGGAAAGGCATGGTTAGGGATAGTGTTGGAAGAGACTGGCTGTCTCTAGAAGGTTCTATGGCCACGTCGACATTGTCAGTTCTGTCTATATGAGACGTAGCGTTCCACTCCTTTCTGTAGCTAGAGATAATAAGATCATCTCATTCATTCATTTTCGTTCCTTGTCCGCGTGTTCGGACGACAGAGACATAATTACCCGACCGGTCTGCCCGTGACACACTCGTCATGCAACCTGGGCACTCCCAAATGGCGCTAACCACCTGTTAGTAGGAAAATAGACCTGGATGAAGCCCTTTCTCGGGAGTCTCTGGACATCGACGAGATTCCTGGCCCGGGTTGCAGATATGACGGTGGGCGCCTAGCTGAGCCCTGCGCTGTGGGTGTTCTGGACCGCCCTCAACGTAGGGACCGTGTCGTAGCTGCTGGATGTGGGCTTTGCCACTTTCACCTCAAGACGGGGCGCAGGGCGCACGCTATGCTTTCTCGTTTCACAACAGTCTCGCATAGCCCAATATCGGCTGCGACGGAGAGAGGCGATCTGCGTATACTCCTCACATCTCCCTGCGCTTACGTGCGCGTCCCAGCATAGTTCCCAAACTCCGTCGCATGCACATTGAGCCTCAGATCGGCTAGCAAGGCAGACAGGACTTTGAGGCGCAGACAAGAACGACCGCAGCCTGCATGGAACTTTGTTCCAACGAAGTACGGACGTTACGTACTCCTCACAGCAAAACGTCAAGAATGTCACCGTTTTTGTCGCTGGGCGACACACCTCCTATCAACCTCAGTTACATGCCTGGCATCCCGGGTCTGATTGCGAATTCCGTAGACTTTCGTAGACTTCCCTGTGGTAACTTGGGTACGATTGGGTTGTCGTTTACACTAATGGTACTCGCATGCCTAGCCCGATTACATGTCTTTAAGCAGCACCCTTACCACCCTGCCGTGGAAGGCATACGGGAACAGAACAGCACAGGGGCTCAAAAATAGTCGCTCCATGTCGCAGTGCTGGTGCAGTTTCGTTTGAGTCGTCCGACGCAAGACAGTGCATGCCAGGCAACTCCCACGAGTCCGTGCTCTTGAGCACATCCCGAGGCATACGGCTTAGGCCCTAAGGGCTACAGAACTGACGAACATGGTGCCATGTCCATCAATGGGGTTGCATTATGGGTTTCATGTTCTGTTTCTTATGCCGGCCGATAGTGACTTTGGAGACTGTAAAGATGGGGCGGAATCCACTCTACCGGATTTTGTATCACAATTGACACCTCAGGCGCAATATCACCGCTAGATTCAGAACCACATATCAAACAATCAGGACTAGCGCGGCAGTGACCAATAGTACCGGGGGCTGGGTTCACGATGTAAGCCGATGGCGCAGCCCTGCCGCGACCAGGGTCTCGGTGGCGTTGAGATGCCCGACGTTTCTGCGACGGCAGTTGTAGTCCAGCTCCGTGGCGATGCACGGTCTAACACCTCTGTCAAGTAGCACTCCGAGTTATACTAGTTATAAGAGACCCGCGACAACGATTTAACGCAAATTTAGTTGCTACTTTGCTCGACTCTGCCTCTTGACATGGCTGAGCAAACGCTGCCGACCGCAGCACAAACGCAACGTGTCCGGTATACGAGCAGTCTTCATAATTTCGAGCCTCGTCTTTTCGCGCCACCATGCCCCGCTGGAGCCGTAAACGAGGCTGACTGGCCACAGACTCGTGAGTCGAAGAAATGGCTCCACGTTGTTGCACAATCTGACAGAAAGGCCTCCTAGGATTGCCCTATATCCCCGAGGACGCGACACACGCATGCGAACAGGCCGGACAGACCGATCTTAATTCGACGGAACAAACAGGCGATCGGTCAAGTACACCATCGCAGGTCGTGTTTCACAGTAAGCCCCGGCCGACAGTCCGAGAGAACCACGCCCTAGTACAAGGATTTGTCTACCCCCCTACGCAGTGTCACTCGGCGGCGACAATGGGTGGATTGCTGTCACTACCCATCCAAGTTGGGGTCAAACCGGTTCGCAGGCGCAGAAAGCTTTTGTTCCACAGTAGCATGGGACGATCTCCAATATCCTTGCCCCCAATATTGGAGGAGATGTGAGCGAACAACACTATTCCCCCTAGCTAAGGTGAGTTGTTGCGGCGTGGTTCTGGCCGGCACCTGCAAATCTGCATATTTGTCTGAGCGAGGAGGCTACCATGACCACTCATGCGGGTGCTCAACGTTATCATGAGGTCGTAACATGGGCTTCCGCGAACGACCACCCTATATTCTTATCCCGCTCCTATATAGCACGTCCATCATCGCGACGGCTGGTATTGCACGCGACCCTGAACCCTTTGACGTCCAAAGACCAAAGCCTGGGCAGCGCTGTTTCTCGTGTATGCCCTAGTCCCCACCGTCGGCCTATCCTGCGGAGATAGCTGTTCAGTCGAACCATGCCGGTGCGGAGCTGCGCCAGCACATCTGATTCTTCCCTTTTCAGCGAGTCGTATATCGCACGGGTATGCTTGCCCGGCAGCGCCTTGTCGATCCGTTTCGAAT